CCCTCCTTTACCAGACCTTTTCCTCCTTTGCCACGACCAGTCAATTGTTGCTTGTTAGGTGTGAAGGACTAGCCGGCGATGGTGTATTGGTAAGCGTGACTGCTTTCTAACACCTCGAACGGTCTGGGTTCAATCCCAGCCGAGGTCGGTGGGATTTTTCTGAGGCATAAAAAGCTCTGGTCACGTCTTCCTTCGGAAGGGAAGTAAAGCCGTTGTTCCCGGCCCATGCGTGTTGAATGGGTGCGATATCCTACGCAGGTGTGGAACCTGCCTTCCTGCACATTTGATTGCCGTCAATGGATGGCAGTCGATGTCCGTCGGTGATTGGCACTAGATTGCGGAACAGAGACCGACGTTAAATAAAGGAAAGAAGAAGGAGTAGGTGTGAAAGAGTGTACTAGCCACCACCTTCTTACTGCTGCTATTGCTGTTCACCACGCCGTCCAAAGCGAAAATGAGCTAATGCCATACAGCAGCGCTCTTTTATATCTTTTGAGGTTAAAGGATAATGATGTGCAACCAAGTGGTATAAAAGCTACTAAGACTCCTCCCATTATTTGAGTTTAGTTCACTCATAATCGCCAAAAGTGCAGGAACTCAGCGATGAGTAAATTTGTCTCTTGGTTTCCTGTGGAAAACCTAAAAAATCTGCCAGAAAATGAGGAAATTGACGAAAATTTTATTCAGTGTCGGAGTAGTACCAATAGACTGAGTGAATCCAATCTTTACTTTTCTCAAATTCGGGAATTTTTCCCTGGAAAATCCTGGGAAAACCTGGGAAAACATGGGGCTAATTTACTCATCGTTGAGTTCCTGCACTTTATTACTTATTTCTGAGATGACTAAACTCAAATTTGGGTCGTTCTCATTCGTTGGTCCACGGTTGAGTTGATGGGTCGATTGGTAGGCTCCAGGTGTTGGAGCTGCCTCCCTGGCGTCGGTAGCATTGGAGCTCAGTACGGAAAACAAATCTCGCGTCACTTTTCAATAGGTCCTATGTACATTGATCGATTCTCTTCATCGACACTCTCTTGCGTAAATAACTTGGCTTCATAAAATTTTCCTGCCGTCTTCGTCAAATTAGATGCTAGATTGTTGCTTCTTCCATCGAAAATATCCGGCCGTGGCGATTCAAAGTTGATCAAGGTTGATCAAAATAATTTGTACCCCTGCTTCCAGTTTGATTACATGAGCATTTTGTGTGATCGTTGGTTCTGAATATGGACAAACAGGCAGATGAATTCAATTCTTACTCTTTGGTGGCCCTGAAAAAAGCCGTTTTGTTGCCAAAGTTGGTGATGATTCAACCTCCGAAACCAAACAGAGTGCGTCTCTGTCACTTCAAAACGTGTGACATGACAGCATCACGGATCTCATTTTTCAGGAACACCTTCAACACACCTCGTAAATCAGACTCGGAGATACGTCAGACAACGCCACGGCGAGCCAGACGACGGATGGTAGTTATCTCGAAGAATTTGCGTTTGGTTCTGAATATGGCGATGAGTGTGCAAAATATTACGCAATTCCATCCTCCCTATTCGCACGCGCCCGAGGATCGGAGGCAAATGCCACTTCAACTTGTTTCGTCTACTTACTACTCTCTGATGACTGTGCTGGGGAAGCAGCTTATGCATGTAGGTAGGATTTGTAAGTTAATTCGACGCTCTTGGACAATGCTGGACATTTACCAGTTTTTCAAAAGTTTCTTGTTAGAAATCAACATTCGTAGCCATATTTCTGATCGATTGGTGATAAAATTATTGAAATTGGACCAGGGGCAGCTGAGTTATTAACGTTCAAAATCTTTCTTAATTTGTTACATGTTCCATTTTCGGTTTACACAAAGTGTACCCCCATATAGAAATCAAAGACGTAGTCCTACGTCAAAAAACTTGAGAATTTTCTAAAGTTTGAGATGCTTAGTTTTATGACATACGGACGCTATGTGATTTCATTACAAAAAGTATGAACAAACGATCATTGCTTATTCAAAATCAGTTAAAGGCTCCCCCAATCGAGGTCCCAATCGTTGTTATGAAATAAATATGATCAATTTTTTTTTTGTTTCACCATTAAAATAATAACAAGGCTTAATGTCATATTATTCATCACACTGAACAAAAAGTTGCCTTGACGCAATTTGATTGAATAACATCTTCACGAGTTTTTATTTAACCGTAGCTTAGCAACATAATGGGGGAGGTAGCTCATCGATTCTTCCGGTTCGCCTCCTAGCATCGTGCTATAAGGTACCAGGCGATAACCAGGGTAGTTGATCGATAGCTCGATGACGTCATTTCGTTGGCGTCTGCAATGGGAAATTCTCATAGCAGGCGTTGACGATGGGACGTTGTCGAGTTGTTGAATAAGCAACTATCGTGGTAACTCACCGATTACCTGTCGATCTGCCAAATTTGGAAAGACGCCTGCATTGAATTGTCTCATATAATAATATTCCGCCCACTATATCACAAGAAATTGCGAGTAGCTGAGTGGAATGGAGATAAGTTAAGCATTGGGTACAGGACCAAGTCTCCCCTGGGTGGTGCCAGAAGATGAGCGCAATAGAATCATCAACTTGCCATAAGGCACGGAATGAGACTATTGCATGGCTGGGTAGTCAAAGTCTTCCATTCGTTAGTCATTTCAGGTGGATTAGAGCAGGTTTAGGTTTAGGGTGGGCGTTGGCCAGATTTGGATTTTTCAGATGTAATCCTGGATAGGACCCTGTCATTGAACGTCGCGTGAAAGTGGAACTTAATGAAGGCCTAAGTACTTTTTCGTAGTTTTTAGTTTTCGGATTTGAAAGATCGTCGGTTACAGTGGTCTGCTTACTGAGCAGAAAAATGCGGTCCCAGGTCCTTACATATCCAAGAGATTTATGGTAAAATCGCTTGTGTATCGTGTATTTTGCGAAACTTGTTGTTGTCGTTGGTTCCGGGTTTGAATGGATACAAAAATTTGAGCAACGGTATTATGTGATATGAGGGGCTCGGTGGCCTTAGAGCATCCGTTTTTGCTTACTGAGTAGAACATCATGAGTCTAATCTCAGGCCCTTCCACATTCAATCGTTTTATTGGTTAATATGACTACATGGTAATAACAGCAACTCGGTAATTAAAAAGGTGCTCGTCTGCCTAGTGGCAAACGTTTTTGCTTACTGAGCAGAAGACCGTGGGTTTAGTCCCAAGCTCCTTCGCGTTATATGATCGTTAGGACATCAATTCAGCTTATCGTTTACCAAAACGAACCCTGCTGCAAACCCAACCCTCTTATCCAACATCCCAGTAATTCCTCGTGGAAGTGCAGAGGACTCCTCGGCTTCCATCAAAGCGAGTGTCATGTCAACACAATCCTTCCCATTCCCTTCTTGACCTGTGTTCGGGCGCGGCCGGCGCTGGTATTGCCTAATTTAAGATCACCAGTTTTTACACATTGAGGATGATTGCTAGTCCCAAGCATCGTCTATTAGTTCTTTGTGTAATTACAGCTGATCTGGCAATAGCAGAGTAGCAACCGTGGGCGGTCAATCAAGCTCAAGCTCAAGCTCAACCGTAGCTTAGCAACATAAAATAAATGCAACAGCCCCCCCCCCCCCTTGGCCCCCTTAAGACATATTTTCTAGCTACGCAAATGCCGTCTTCCCTTATTTACTAATTTACGTATCATCTTCGTTGACGTTCACACAGAGTCGTTATACCATAATTTCGCTTCCAACCCCGTAAATCATATTAATATAACTAAATATTCACGCCAATGCACGCCACCACTGAAAATAGCTCATGCCGTCAACACCACCACCAGCAGACAAATAGAAATCCGTCGATGAACAGGTGATGGAGATTCCGAAGTTGAGTGGAAGTACCGTTGGTTTTTGCAATTCTGCTGCATGCTGCCGCCATGCGTCTCCATGAAGTGTTTCATTATAAGCTGCACATCCCTCACCCGATGGTTAATTTGACGCGGTCGTAAGGCAGTCTCAAATTTAGCTAATTAATTAAAATTTGTTGATACGGTTTTATCAATCCTGGACAGAACTTCCCGAACGGAACATTTTGAGAAATGATATCGATCTACTTGAGAGAGACGCAATGATAACGTACGAATGAGACGCAAAAACTTTCGAGGTCTGGTTAGACCCGTTGCGAAAATTCCCCCTCAATCCCCCCCCCCCCATCCCAAACGTTTAACGAAAGGCAACAAAGTGCGCAATCCAATCGCTTCAGCTCCTTCCTTTGTCGATGCATGGGAAATCCCCGTGTTGAGCAGCATCACCATATTGTCCAGTGGCCAGTGTTGTTATCTTTTCATGGAGTACGATCCGTAGATAGGTAAATTTGTTTCCACTGAGTTAATTATTGCCAAATTTGATGACCACTTTCCAAAACCAGTCCTTAAAAAGTTTATTTATTTTTAAAAAGCGATTTTATGCATCCATAGAATTTCTTCAACCCTTTTAAAAAATACGTAGATCTACGAATAAACCCGAAGGACTGACCACACTGTCATTGACCCTGTATCGTCGACTGTGTTGCTTACGTACTTCCCCAGTATTTCCGTAAATATACTGCTATGACATGAATCATACCATAGGGTCATGAATTTGTTTCCCCATTATTGGTGTGATCAAGGATTGCAATAAACTTGAAACCATTTACTGCCGCTCTTAACGAACAAGTCACGCACCGTTTTGAACAACAGGTGCCCGAGCGAACTTGATAAAGGTGAACCACGCGGCTACCGAAAAATTAGATAAACCTGTTTGTCGCCGGTTGTGATGATACTCCCAACTAGTAGTCGAATGCGCTGGTGCGGTGGAGTGGGACGAAAGCGGCTCGGAAATCTGTGCAAAATACTAGTTTTTCTCGATCGTTGTCATCGCTGTCGGAATTTAATGCGTTTCTTCCAGTTCTCTTTGCCATTGCGAGTTAAAGATCGGAAACCAGTTCGGATGGACTGTCCACTGGTCTTGGATATGGGAAGCAACAAGCATGTGCGAGAGAGAGAAGAACGAAGAAGTCCAATAAGAGTGTGTCTGTTTTTGTACGAAATCAACCACCTCATCACCTGGGCGAGATCTCAGCGATCAGTTTCCTTCGTAACATTCTTGAAGTGACTCGAGTTTTATCCGGCCTTTTTTTGAGACGCTCGAGCATGGTGGTTTAAAGTGATCTGTTTGCACAAGAGACAACGCAGTAGTTTGAGTCGCAAAGATGCTGCGGAACTGGAACGCATGTATGCGAAAGTGTGTCGTGTTGATTGTCGCAATCTTTTGTTTCGGTGAGTGTCTTAAGTGCTGTTGACCTATTGAAAGGTTATAAACCAACGAATAAGTCAAGTGCACACGAATGAAGAATTTCTATTTCTGTGAAACGTCGTCAGTCCTTCGCACTCAGAAGTGCGAAAACCGGTTATTCAATATTAATTTGTGATACTTTCAGTTGCTTCGAGCCGTGGAGAAAACATTCCGATAAGCGATGGTGATGTCAATGTCGGGAAATCTCCGTGCCGATATGCACGACACAGCTATGGAGGAGACATTGCTAGAGAGCAAAGACAAATGGGCCTTCCAGGACTTGGATTGTTTGGAATAAATTTATTTGAAAAAGTTGCCACCGATACGGCGAATGTTTTGGGCAGCGTGAATCAGCAAGTTGGAACAGCCTTCAACCAACTGTCCAGGCCTTACGCTACAGGACAACCAGGATTTAATTTTGGATTTGGTTTGAATAGTGGATATCCTGGATACGGTCAGAATCCTTACGGCTATGGTCAACCACCTCCACCACTTAATGGTTATCCGCCTCAGCCACAAGGACATCGTCCACCGTATGGTGGACTTCCTCCACATGGAGGCTACCGACCTGATAGTCATGAGCAAAATCATCATGGTCATGGGCATGGCCATAATCATGGTCAAGGTGGAGGATATGCCAGTGGTTATGAGCATAGCCATTACCATGGCAATGATCACGGTCACGGAGGTGGTCATGGTCAAGGTAATGGATATGCCGGTGGTAATGAGCATAGCCATTATCATGGCAATGATCACAATCACGGAAGTGGTCATGGTCATGGTAATAATGGGCAGTATGGTCAAGGGCACAATCAGGGACAGAATGTTTTCCTGCCACCCCAAGGCAATGGTCAAGAAATCAATCAAGGAGTAATTGCACCACCTTCGCCGCCAAGAATCCCAGAATCACCACCAACAACCACAGGTGGCCTCCACATTGTTCCCGTGTACCCAGAAATACCAGTGCAAGCTTCTTCTACCCCAGCAGCACCCCCACCACCACCCGTTCCAGCACCTCCACCACCAACTGTCCCTGTTGATCCACAACCTGCACTACCTGCTCCACCACCACCCCCTCCATCTCCAGCGGCATCAACACCAGCTCCAATTCCATCTACAACTACCGAAGATATTTATGACGTCACCTACGACATCGACATCCGAGGTGAATTCGACGAAACCAACCAAACCCGCAGAAGACGACAACTGTTCCCGAACCTGTTCAACTCTATCGGAAACATTGTGCAGACTGGTGTAAATCTGGCAAATCCAGCCACCTACCAACAAACCGGTCAACAGCCTTTGTTCCCCATATTCGGAGGATTTGGACAGCGACCAATTTTCGGTCAACCCAACTCCCAAACTCAACCAAGCTCCCAAACTCAACCAGGTCAAATCAATGGATTCCAACCACAGCCGCAGCAACAACCTGTAACTCAACCACCTCCTAATCCTGCACCTCCCACAACCGGCCCCAGCTTGCAGCAACATCGTCCCCAGCCTGCTCCTCAACCCGCTCCTCCCACGTTTGCCCCTTCCCCTCAAACTCCACCACCAGTACCCATTAACCCTAATCCCGAACCGGAAATCCCTGAACTCAACCTCCAAAACCTCGGAGGGTCCGAATTCAACTGGACTCCGGACAACATTGGCGCTCATCGGATCCGCCGCGATACGGACGCAATCTTCTTCCCGGATGACGAAATCTTCGAACGCCCACTCCCCATTCGACCACCATCGAATCAGGCATTCCAAACGTCCGTTAAGCAACCGTTCAGCGGATCCCAAGCTGGAGGTCAATCACAGTCGCAAAACGTCTTCGGGGGCTTCGAACAGAGCAGCGGATCCCAATCGCAATCACAAAGCGTCCAGAATGCACTGGGCACATTCAACCAGAACGCCGCGGGTAGCACCTCCGGTAACATCGCTACCGATGGATCGTCAGGTCAGCTTAGCGCTGCAAACACTATGCAACAGAGCTTCCAAACCGCAGATTCCTCAGGCAGTAAGAATTCCGCCCAAAGTCAATCGGCCAATTTCGACGACAAAGGAAACCTGGCGTTGACTTCGTCCAATGCCAATACAAATTCAATCCGCGAAAAAGATCGGTTTAAGGAGCAATCAAACGCTGGATCGTCCTCAGCTCTGCAGAATCAACACGGAACGTCCTCCAGCAATGCTCAGACCGATTCGGAGACATTCTTCGAGAACGGAATTCAAGGCAACAAGAACAGTGCATCCAGTCAGTCGCAGCAAACGAACAAGGATGGTTCGGTATCGGGAGCAAATGCGAACACATTCAGCAATACCTTCACCGGTCCGAATGGGCTGCAGGGAAGCTCTTCGTCGAGTCAGTCATCCAGTTTAAATCAGGGACCGGTCGGTGGAGGCGGTGCGTCATCGTCGGCAACGGCGAGTTCATCGTCCGGTTCTGGCACCGGAGGTGGTTCCTTTAGCATAAGCGGGTCATTCTCGGGGAATCCCCCGTTCCATGTATTTCCCAATTTGTTCAACCAGTTGCAGGGAAAGTAAACGAGCGTTAGATAGTAAGTTGCGTAGCGATGGATAGATAAGAAATAAATAAAAATGTGTAAAAGTCTGACGGTTGTTGGGTGTTTGATTTGATCCGTAAACAACAATATTATTGTCTACAATTTATAGCGCACACGTTGAAAAGCGATAGATTTGGCATACATTTTCACGATTTCAACCAGATGATCATCTTGAAAAAGATTTCACGTAAGAGCTGCAGATCACGGGGAGACCAGCTTCATTATTCACTTCATAGCACAGTAATGACCCGGTTTTGTCAGCCTCGAAATCTTTTGCAATGTTCTACAAAGCCCATGAGCTTTTTCATTAGGGTCATAACTGTATTCAAACACGGAAAGCGAAACGTTTGTATCCTTTTACGTTCGTTACCCAACAAACAATTTGAGCTGATTAAAAGTAGAATAAGCTATTTTTTAGCTGAAGAAGCAATTTTTTGCCTGAACAACCTCTTATTCAGCTTCCAATGTTTGTTGGGTACTTCCACCAAGCCCACTAACTACCCGATAATCGCCCTTTTTGCGATATAAGGTAAATATAGGGTTTGCGAACTTTATATCAGTCATATATCAGCCTTATATTGCAAAAAGGGCGATTAGCAGGCTTGTTGGTTACTTGGGTTATTCACAGCAAAAGCTGTTCTAGAGGAGCAGTAAGTTTGGAAAGGTGCTGTTCATTAACCATGTAGACAGTTTTAGAGGTACAATCGTTTCCCAATATGTAATTGCTCTCAATTTAACTCAAGTCCATCGTGCATCAGCTTGTTCATTACTTTGTTTGTGATTTCCAGTTATCTGTAATTTTCAGCAAAAATCAACAAATCGTCCAAAGACACATCCAGGAACTTCCTCCGACAAAGCCGATTTCAGGTTCTATGTTATTCAAGTTTACACAAGTGGGTCACAATATATGGATGAACTCCTTTGGTTCATATGGTCAAATGCCCAAAACCGCTTGTTTACGTGTTTTTTTCAAAAGAAGTTTAATGGGTTTTCCCCCCGAATCACTAGAAAAACTGCTGAACTATTATTCAGGAACTATGTATATCAATTAGTCTTTCAACGATACGAGAAAAAATCGCTGTTGACCATATTATCTCGTGACGCGTATTACTCCACCTTACTCTATTAACTAAAAGCTTCCTAGTAATTCAGTAGACGGGCGTTAGTGTTCATTAGAGTGATGCAAAATTTGAAATTTTCGCTTCACAATACTTAAACGATTCCAAATCGGATCCTGACTAACCTTTCAAAATTTGAACCCATTTGGTGAGAAACTGAGACAGCACAAACCATTTGAAGTTTGTATGGGAATTACTATTGTAAAACCAAGATTTTTGTTCATGTCAGCTTTCAACTGTGCTTGTAGTAAATTTTCCCAGCTACAACTTTGCTGTAGACCACTTTTTGTTTAAATGTAAGGAAAGTTATCAATGGTTCAATGCGCTGATGTCTTATGATCATGCTCAATCAACTGCTCAGCAGGCAACATTGGTGTTTCTGGGGCGTTGAATAGAACAAAAAAATCATGGCTACTATGTCACACTGCAAAATACAGTGTTGCCTACAGAGCAGCTGCTTGATTATGTCATAAGCTTACCAATCTTTTAAATAATTAATAACTTTTTCCTGTCCCGTTTGACATAGAAACGATCTTGAGCAATGTTGTAGCTGAGAAATGTTTCTATAAGAATGGCTATCGAACTGTTTTGCAGCTCAATATGGAAAAAGACTAGAAGGCAATGAACAAAAAGTTGAGATTTTCTATAGTAATTTACATGTTAACTTCAAATGGCTTGTGCGAAGTCTGTTTCTACCCAAAAGAGTTGTAACTTTGGGAGGCTTATCAGGACTCGATTTGAAACCATTTAAGCACTGTGGAGCGAAAAAGTCAAATTTTGCATCCGTCTAGTGTTCATCTCTGTGTTTTGAGTGATGGAATTGCAGTCTAGAAAGATACTGTGAAAGCTTCACATTCGTTGATATGTTTTCTTATGTTTGAATATGTTTTCTTCAGCTGAATAACCCACTATTCAGCTTTAAATGTTTGTAGGAGTATGCCAGTCTTTGCAACTAGGTTCAAAATTGTATACACTGAAAATTTATGCTGGAATTCGCTTTGTATTTCAATAAAAATCAATGAAAGGAAAAAAATTACCCTATGGTGGCTAAAGTTTGTATGGCAAACCAAAACCACCTGTTCCCCTCTGCACTTTCGATCTGTATTGAAATCCACAACACCTGAGCAAAATTTGAACGAATTTGGTTACGATGGTCCGAATCAAGGTAGCCACTTTTGAGCTCTTCGTCTGTACAGTGTACCTCCCACCCAATTGCAACAATGCACAGTGGTACAGAATGCAGATTTAGCTGGAATGATATGTTTTGAGCCTGAAATTGAAACTTTAGACTAAAAGTCTCTTCTACAAAGTTGTTCCTTATAGTTAGGCCCTCATTTTTATGACATTGAATTCTAGGGTGGTTCCTATTATCATTAAAATCAAAAATCTAACTTTTTTGTTTGAATAAATTAAGGTATACATTCTTGGGCAAAGTTATAGCTGAGCTAATTTCAAGCAACTGTAGTGAAAATAACTTTTTTGTATCTCTTAAATTGGCCGATTTAGAGCTATTTTCTTGAATTGAGTTAGGGTGACTCTTAAAAAAACAGTTTTTTTGCTCTGTTTTTCTTATTTCGAATTTTTCAGCAAAGGTGTCTTCAGATAACTTTTAGATCTTAAGAAGACGCAAATTTTTGCTACACAAAGCTTGCCAATTTCTTTCGCCGATCAAGAGTTATTGATTTTTTTATACTAAAATTATGCACTTTTCAAATGTTAATATCTCTGGTTGGGGCAAACAAAAAAAAAGTTTTTTTGCAGCATTTGAAAGGGCGTATGTTATTTTCAATAATATGAAAAAATTGGAGGTATGTTATTTTTTAAACTCGTATAACATCAATTTGAATTTATTCATATTTTTTACTATATTTGGCTATATCTTTTTTATTAGAAGAGATACAGGCAACAAATTCAGCTATAAAACATTCGTCTTAAAGAGTTTTAAAATGCTCTCCAAGATAACTTTCATGAGAATTTGCAAATAAAAAAGTTATTGCTAAAAACTATTTTTTCCAGGAACACCCTAAGTCAACTCCGAAAAATTACTCTAAAATGAGAACGTTAAGAGATAGAAAAAAATTTTCTTCGACAAAGTTGCTTGCAAGTAACTTAACTACAACTTTTTCAAACAACACATGTTTATATTTTGTAAAACAAAAAAGTTAGTTTTAAAAATTCCTTAATTTGAGGACCACCCTGACGTCTGCAAACACCAAAAGAAGGGAATTTTTAAGAACAAAAACTTCTTCGAAGACACTAAATGTCCAAATATTGAAACAAATGTACTAGCACATTTTATATAAATTTGTCATTAGAGTGGTCCTATGAAATCCATCTTTTGCCAATAATTTTTTTATTTGAAATTTATCATGAAAGTCATCTTCTAGAGACTTTTAAAACTCTTTAAGACGAATGTTTTATAGCTGAATTTGTTGCCTGTATCTCTTCTAATAAAAAAGATATAGTCAAATATAGTAAAAAATATGAATAAATTCAAATTGATTTTATACGAGTTTAAAAAATAACATACCTCCAATTTTTTCATATTATTGAGAATAACATACGTCCTTTCAAATGCTGCAAAAAAACTTTTTTTTTGTTTGCCCCAACCAGAGATATTAACATTTGAAAAGTGCATAATTTTAGTATAAAAAAATCAATAACTCTTGATCGGCGAAAGATATTGACAAGCTTTGTGCAGCAAAAATTTGCGCCTTCTTGCGATCTAAAAGTTATCTGAAGACATCTTTGCTGAGAAATTCGAAATAAGAAAAATAGAGCAAAAAAACTGTTTTTTTGAGAGCCACCCTAACTCAATTCAAGAAAATAGCTCTAAATTGGCCAATTTAAGAGATACAAAAAAGTTATTTTCACCACAGTTGCTTGAAATTAGCTCAGCTATAACTTTGCGGAAGAATGTATACCTTAATTTATTCAAACAAAAAAGTTAGATTTTTGATTTTAATGATAATAGGAACCACCCTAGAATTCAATGTCATAAAAATGAGGGCCTAACTATAAGGAACAACTTTGTAGAAGAGACTTTTAGTCTAAAGTTTCAATTTCAGGCTCAAAACATATCATTCCAGCTTTTTTTTTTTTTTTTTTTTTTTTAACTCTTTATTTGTTCCAAATTCAAAATAAATTACATTTCATTTTAACCTAGGTGCTCCAGTTACTGCAGTAACGTACCAGCCTTAATTGTTATGATATATATCTAAGTGTTTTTACATTGTTCATGTCTTGGCAATTCAGTATTTTAAACAGGTTTTTTAACCTGCATGTCAGTATAACAATTGATATCTTAAAACTAAAAACTAAAACTAAATCTTATCTAAGTATAAAGGGAATTAATCGTTGCAATTGAGGATTGCAACGATTTTTGCCTGAAATTATTATTTATTTTGTTGGACATTTGTGCTAAAGTCTCAACATTCGAAATTCTATGTACTTCGGTTGTGCTGTACCAGGGAGGCAACTTCAAAATCATTTTCAGAATTTTGTTCTGAATCTTTTGAAGTGTTTTTTTCCTGGTAGTGCAACAACTAGACCATATTGGCACAGCGTAAAGCATGGCCGGTCTAAAAACTTGTTTAAATATTAGAAGTTTATTCGTCAGGCAAAGTTTGGATTTCCTGTTTATAAGAGGATACAAACATTTTATATATTTGTTACATTTGGCTTGAATGCCCTCAATGTGATCTTTAAAAGTTAATTTTTGGTCAAGTATTAATCCAAGATATTTCACTTGGTTTGACCAGGAAATTGGAACTCCGTTCATAGTGACTATGTGACTACTACTAGGTTTCAAAAACGAAGCTCTAGGCTTATGTGGAAATATTATAAGTTGAGTTTTGGAAGCGTTGGGAGAAATCTTCCATTTTT